TTTTTCTATTTATATAGAGTAAATACAGGACAGGTGGGTCTCAATATACAACATCTACTCTGATTTCTAGATGTTAAAGAGGTTGTCAGTGATGACAAAAGTAGAATTAGTACACTTTGTATTAAGGATCATAAGAAAAACATTCTTAAAACCACTTAGGAAGTGAAATTATTAAATCCCTTGGAACATTACAGATACCTAAAGCTGATCACTGTGTTGACAGAGATGGGAAGGTTCTAAGCTAGATTTTTCCTTTCAAATTACATGCTACTGTGTGTATAGTGGGAAGCATGAGTCCTTTTGAGGAACATCCAGCTTTTCTAGATGTGTAAAAGTACATAATGTAAAAACACAGGGCTAGCTCAATGCCCATTAAGTATTTCATACTTAATCCTTCCTTCATAGGAATGGGTGCATTTGGGAATGAAATTGTTAAACTTGATGTCTTGGCGTGTATGCTGATGGCTTACTGTGTGGCAGCAGGTTGGGGTGGGGGAAAAGAAGTATGTGTAGAATATGCTCTGCTCCTGTTAGGTTGGTTCAGGTTGTCCAGGCATTATTTCTTATGCATTTCAGTTCATATTGCTGGTTATTAATGGATAATTGTAATGTCCAAATATATTAAAAGTAGGGAATAATTACTACATAAATGTCCCTTTGTTAGGTTTTAGGAGTGGTACCATTTATGAATACATCCAATGGAGCCAGTGTCTTTCTTAAGTTAGTCACTGGATGGGTGAGGGAGGGCCCTTTCCTAGTGTCTTCAAATCTAGATGAATCTCATTATACCCAAATTCATATGTGCATTTTTATTAAATACTTGGGTTTATTGTGCACAAAGCTCATTTTTACAACAACATGTAAGCTTTGCACATGTCCTGAGGTGACAGAGTATGATAAGAAGTAGAGTTAATAAATTAGCCAACTGGTAAATACAGAAAAGATGCATCTTGAACATGGAATTGTCATTACCTACAGCAGTGTGAGTAGTTCTTGTTCATTACAGTGGCAGCAGTGGGGCAGAAAGAAGTCTCCAGGGAGAGTTATGTGCAGGTGTGCTCAGATTTACAGTTTGATGAGAGCCATTGATTAAATTCTGGCTGTACTACAGAGATGCAGTAAGTCACAGGAACATGCTTTCTTGCTCATATTTGCATAGTATAGGTGTGATAATGAGCTGTGTTAGAAACTATGCTTAGTGTAATCTGTTCCTTTATGTCTCACAGTAAATGGAGCATTATGGGAATGCAATATTATAGCTCCTGCCAATACTTCTGTCGAGACAGAGGCCCGTTTCTATTTATGTCTTCAGTGAAATTTTTGCCCAAGGAAGGAAGGATTATAATTTGTTTCAAATAGATTGCATTGGTGTTGTATATACTTGGTTATTAAAATATTCATGTAGCTTTGGAATTTTGAGTTGGTGAGCATTCAGAATGTATGGATAAGCATGTCAGACTATATGATCTCAGTTACATAAAATGGATCATGTGGGAACTTGTAGGATTTAGGACATTCCACCTGTACTGCTTGTGGCTATGGGTGATAATGTTCTCTTCATGTGTTTGTTTCCTGTAGTTCACATGTCAACTAAAAAATAAACATTATTTTAAAACCTGAAAAATATAAATATATGAGTGCTTTTCTCTCAGCTTGAGTTTCTCAGGCTTGTCTTCATTGGCACAAATTATACTGTCTACTCAACTACCTGATTTCAAAGGGAAACTGGTGAAATAATTTATCCTAAATATTGTAATGCTCATAAGTAGCTGTGATTAACCCTGACTTCCCGATCTTTTCTGTGGTGGAAAGAAGCATAGAACCAACCCTCTTTCCCTTATCCTCTTAAAAACATCAGACATTCCACATGCACATTCTAAATGTCCACTTCTTTATTCAAAACTGATTATGTGGAAAGGTCAGTGCATATATCTTTAAAATGATATGAAAACATTTTTGAAGTGACATTTGACTAACTTCAAACTGAGTCAGCAGAAAAACCCTTCTTTAGTGTCACCATATACAAAAATGATGCCGGAGACCAGTGGTACAGGCCTGTATTCCTAGTTAATCTGGAGGCAGCCAGTCTGTGCCAATAGTTCATAAGACCCTATCTAAAAAATCCAAAATGAAACCAAGATTGGCAGAATGGCTTAATTGATAGAGTACCTGCCAAAATAATGTGACCTCATGAGTTCAAACCCCAGTACTGCCAGAAATAAACAAACAAACAAAAATCCCAAAGAGACCATGATGAGTCTAGCTCCAGTGGCTCATGCCAATAACACCAGGTGCTTGGTATACTGTGTTCAGGAGGATCACTGTCAAGGTCAGTAAAGGAAAATATTTTTTGAGACCCCCCTATCTCCAAAATTACCAGAGGGAAAATGATTAGAGATGTGGTTCAAGCAGGTGAGCACATCCTTTGCAAGTGCAAAGCTCTGAGTTCAAACCCCAGTCTCCAAACCAAAACAAGCAAAGAAGGAAACAAGCAAGATCAGGATGATTACAGGAGAACACTGATTATGCTAAACTCCATGTCAGTGCTCTCCTAATTTCTTTCTACTGCTGTCTTCTCCTCTCTTTCTGCTTTAAGACACCTGCACATCTTACCTTTGGGGCTTTGACCCTAACGTAATACTCTAGAAATCATGGCCTAAGCTAATCAGCATTTCATTCTAAACAATGTCTAGAAACATCATGTACAAAATTGACCATTAAGTCAGAAGGGCAAAAAGTGTCCCCTCCACTCAGAAGCCAACAACATGGATGTGAATCCACACTTCCAGTGATCTGACAATGTGATGGGTTTGTGGAAATCCAGGGACTTATAGACAGTGCTGAGAAGCATTGCCTGAAGGGACAAGTCATAGAATTTAGCCCATGTTTCCCTTGAACCTCAAGGAACCCAAAGGAAACAAGGTCCAAATAAAGGAAAAGGAGACATGGGAAAAGCACAGCAGCACCACAACCCTCTAAAACTTCAAAAACACTCAGTAGTTTCCCATGACCATCCCAATCAACTAAGTGTCAACGCAGTCTGAGAGACATGGGTTTTGGGGAAGAAAACTGGACAGCTTTCCTAGCAATTACAAGGTCTTGGTCTAAACCCATAGTAATACACACACAGACACACACATACAAAAGAAACAAACTGAATTAACATAAACTTCAAATATACATTGCAAAGTGAAAGAACATAAGAAATAAAAATAAGTAAAAAAAATTGATATCCTAATATTAAAAACAAAATGGAATACAGGGAAAGCACAATTAAATTGGAACTTAAGCCAGGGACTGGAGGCTCCCTCCTGTAATCTTAGCTGTTTTGGAGACAGTGGTAGGAAGTCTGCCTTGCTTACTACATTTTTGCCGTATTTGCCATGTGTCTGCTCGAGAGTTGTGAGGTTACCCAGCTCCAGCAGCTGTGTGAAATCTTCTGACTGCATGACCATAGGGAGGTCACCTGGAAGCATCAGAAGAGGGAAATGATGAGAGTGTGGTGGGGCATCTACCATGCTAGGTGAAGTGACTGTTGTATCCAGAATCAGTGGTGGTTTTAGTGGGCCTTACCTTGTGGGTTCCACAAACTGCACCCTGATCACACTGTTGAGGCCTTAGGTCCTCTGCCACCATAGGGTGGTGGTGGACTGGGGGTCTTTAACCAGTCCTATCTCTCTGTGAAGTGACTTCACTCCAGCTCACAGACCTGCTGGGAATTTCTGCTTGCAACTCCCTATCTGGCTAACTGAGGTGGCTGGGGATACTACAAACTGCATACAGTGTACTTATGCAGTTTGTGCTGGGCCAAGGCCCTGCTTTGCAGTGTCCCTGTAACTCCTTATTGTGACCTGCCTTCCCTTTGATTCCTTCAGGTTCAAGGGAAGCATGGGCTAAACTGTATGCTCTGTGTCCTAAAGCCAGTGCTTCTTAGTGCTGCCAATAAGTTCATAAATTTCCAAAAATTCTGCACATTGTCAGATTCTTTGGAAATGCAGATCCACAAGTGCCCATGGTTGGCTTCTGAGTGGCTGGGACACTTTTTGCCCCTCCTCACTTAACAGTTATTTGTTCACAGGTAGTTTCTAGAATATTTTTCTGTAATGAAAAGCTGATTAACTTAGACTGATTTTAAGAATATTACTCTAGATGGAAAGGAACAAAAGAAAGGTGATTTGCTCTCAAATAGAGTAAAAAACTGGAGAAGGAAAAATTTGGGTGTAGACAGACATGGAGATTGACAAAATCAGTTTTCTCCTATGATCATCTTGGTCTTGTTTGTTTCCTTGTTTTATTTTTGGTGACTGAAGTTTGAACTCACAGTTTGGCATTTACAGAGCAGGTGCTCAACTGCTGGAACCACATCTCCAGTCTATTTTATCGGGTACTTTTGGAGATGGGGTCCATACATGAAATAACTAAGTTACTTTTTTTGGCAATGTATTTTTATTTTCTTAGATGCAAATGATTAGGTTGAAACATGAAGTTTGAGAAATCCCTGGACATCTGCTTCATTCCAGTTTCCAGTGTTTGACCATCAGCCCAACATCAATTACCTGTGTCCTAGCCTACCTGAGTCTCCCCTCCTTAACAGACATGATGAATTTTCTCCAAGCCATATTGAGTCTAGAATTCTCTGAGTAAATCTGTTGTCCCATTTTCAGGAGGAGTATATAAGAAGGTCACAGTGATAAGAGGCAGGCGCTGGGTACAGAGGGCAAGGACAAGTTCTGCTGAATGTAATTGTCTGACAAAGCAAAATATACCTCCAACAAAGGAAGTCTGATTGGCAAGGGCTGCTGGATTCTTTCATTTTCAACTCACCAGTTTAGCACATCCTAACCACTCCATCACTCAGGGGCTTAGGGGTTGGGCCTTGCACCCATTGGCCAATCAGAGCGGCTGTTCAATCGCCTGCACCTCCCGTCCAATGAGGAGCGACGGTGTTAGGCGATTCACGTTGCCTTCCTCATTATCGCCATATTTGCCACGAGACTGCTGGTGGGACATTGCTCAGGCTACACAGCTCCAGCAGCTGTGTGAAATCTTCTGACTGCAGGACCATAGTGAGGTCACCTGGTCGCGTCAGAGCGGGAAATGGTGAGAGGGGGCTGGGCACCTGCAGTGCTGGGTGGAGGGACAGTTGGATCCAGAAGCAGTGGTGGTTTGACTGGGCCCCATCTGTTCTGGAGTCTGCGACCTGATCACATAGTTGGGTCCATAGGTCCGGGGGCAACTGGACGGTGGCGATGAACTGGGAGCCTTGAGCCCCATCCTGTGGCCTTGTGACGTGGCTTCATCTCAGCCCACAGCCCTGCTGGGAGTCTCTATCTGAAAATTCCTTTCCCACAGACTGAGGTGGCTTGGAATCTCTGGGTACTTAAGGAGTTTGTGCCGGGACAGAGCGCTCCTGTGCAGTGGCCTCATAAATCCTTACTGGTGTTACATGCTATGTCGACAGTCCTTGCCTTCACAAGCCAGAGAACTGACTGTGAGGCAGCTGCATGAAGAGCCAAAGCCGTTATATAAAGTAGGATTTATTAGAGAGAAAGGAAAGGCTACAGCTAGGGAACTGCAGCGGAGCCCGGAAACGGGTGGCTCCCTGCACAGGTGAAGGCTGGGGTTTTTGTGGACGTTGTAACTAGGTTAGGTGGGTTTTTCTCATGGGCCATGGATTAATGGGCTTTCTCAGGTGTACTGGTTTGGTTAGCACCTTTATTGGGGGAAGGGAACAATCTTGAAAGCATTTTGCAAATAAGCCCTGTGGCAGATCTGTATCTCCTTTAGGATGCAGGAATGCAGGCCTCCATCTCCTCAGGATGTAGAAATGATACCGCCCTCCGTGGTGCATGGGATACTCACTCATGTGCCTTAGGTCTCTAGACACAACACTGGGACCTGGCTTCCTTTTGAGTCCATCAGGATCAAGGGAAGCCTGGGCTAAACTCCACGACCTGTCCCCTCAATGTAGTGCTTCTTAGTGCTGCTAATCAGTCCCTAAATTTCCACAAATCCTGCACGTTGCCAGATTCATTGAAAATGCAAATCCACATGTGCACGTGGTTGGCTTCTGAGTGGAGGGGCACTTTTTGCCCTTCCTGACTTCATTGTTAATTTTCCACAGGTTGTTTTTTGAATATGGTCTTATAGTGAAATCCTAATTAACTTAGATCATGACTTTAAGAGAATTACTTTAGGGGGAAAGCCCCAAAAGTAAGGTATGTAGGCATCTCAAATCAGAAGGAAATTTGCCATCAAAGAGAGGACAAAACAGAAGAAACATTGGGAGGGGACAGATAAGGAGATTGGCAAGAACAGTTTTCTCCTGTTTTGTTTTGAGGGACTTAGTTAAGCAGCGCTTAACTGTTTGAACCATATCTCTAGCCTATTTTGCTCTGGATATTTTGGAGATGGGGGTCTCCTAATGTAGTTTTCCTAGCTGACCTTGACTGTCATCCTGATTAGTCTGCCAAATACCTAGGTTTACACAAAGGAGCTACCATTGCTAGGATCTTTGTGGTCTTTGTAAGGTACTGCCAAATTAAGAGCATGCCATGTGTGGAAAGGAAAGATTTATTAGAAATCCAGACCACAGGGCTGCACACCCCACCCCCCACCCCAACCCCCGAGATCAGGGAGCAGCTGCTTGGGTGAATTGGGTAGTGGCCTTTATAGGAAGGGCCAAGCCATGGGAGAGGGAGAGAGTCTCTGGTCTCCCATTATCTGCAATCACCAGATGGAACAGGTCAACATGCCTGGCTAGTTGAGTAACTGGAAGTTCCTGAGTTGTTTTGCAAGCCAAGAAACAATAAGGCAGGGAGAAACTAGCAGTCATAAATCAGGGGGTCTGGTTTTAAGGTGTAGCCTCGGGTCCTCCCGCCTGCCCCAAGAATGCCAGGGACCTAACAGTCTTGTTGGGTCTGGAGACCCTAACACAGATGAGTGAGTATCCCATTCCCCATGGAGGGCAATATCATTTCTGCAACATGAGGAAATAGAGGCCCGCATTCCTGCATCCTGAGAGGGAGCTGTAAACTGCATTTCTGCATCCTAAAGAAAGATACAGGGTCTGATAGATCTGCCACAGGGCTGATGAGCAAAATGCTCTCAAGATTGTTTCCCCTCCCCCAATAAAGGTGCAAACCAAACCAGTTCACATGAGGAAGCCAGTGAATCTATGGCCAATGAGAAAACCCACCTAATCCAGAGTTAGAATGTCCATAAAAACCCCAGCCTTCACCTGAGCAGTGAGCTAAGGGCTTACAGATTTTCTGCAATGTCTAGCTGAAGCCTTTCCTTTCTCTATAATAAATCCTACTTTATATACTGGCTTTAGCTTATCAGTCAGCTGCCTCATGAGGCAGTTCCCTGGCCTGTGAAGGCAAGGACCCTTGACTCTGGCCCACAACACTTCCACACTGGCATGTAGCAGTCTTTTTTTTTTTTTTTTTTTTACTGCAGTGGAATTTGAACTCAGGTCCTCATGCTTGATGGTAAGTGCTCTTACCACTTGTGTGACTCCACTATCCTGTTTTTGTTGTGGGTTTTCCTCAAGATAGGGTCTCAAGAACTTTTTGCTAGCATGGGATTTGAACAAAGTCCATCCTGATCTCTGTCCCCTGAGCAGCTAGGATTACAAGCAGGAACTACAGGGACCTGGGTGACAGGAATGTATGAATTGTTTGATGAGTCAGGCTCAGATTCCTCAAATTCACCTTTCAAGTGCTTACAAATCATTTTGAAGATATTTGCAATGATTATTTCATAATTATTTGTGATGCTATAAAAAGGGCATTTGGGAAGTTGCAGGGGAATGTCTGAGTTTGCAGAGGGGGTAATGGGAACAATGTTGGTTCTCTGCTTCTTTTGTAGTGCAGAAATAAATGGAAGTGTGAGTTAATTGCAGATATTTATGAGTGTTACAACTTCAGAATCTATCATTCCACCACTTTTCTTTGGGTTGAGGTACATGGTTAGACAGTGTAATTTGTGTCAATGAAGACAAGTATGGGAGGTCCAGGAATAGAGAAAAACACCTTTGTGTTTTTCCTGATGGGGCAAAAAGTTGGTGCATTTGGGAGGTGATGTGAGTGTGTAGTATAAATTAAAAATTTAAGTCCTTTTGTCAGTTTCTAGCAAAGAGATTCTGAAATCCTTGAAATCTCTGAGGCAGTAGAATTGTATTTGGTTGTTTTCCTAAGCTCCATTGAGGCAATGTTTCATTTATTTTAGTAACTTGTGTCAGGGTGGTAGCTCTCTAAACTTTAGAAAGGTGACTGGTGTGACCAGCATAGCAAACATGTTCTATGGCTTGTTGTCTGTTGACACTGCCCAGAAGATGGAGGGACTGTGAGACAACTGGACATTGTCAGATTTGAATTGAAAGACAGTCAGTTTTTGAAATTTGTTTGGTTTTAGTAACACCACATATTTGTTATTAGAGGTAATGACAAAGAAATATAGCATAAATAATAACACTTGAGTCCTTTGGGGGAACATTTGGTAATGTTACCCGAGTGTCCATTCTTGGTACTTATGTCTTGTGTGAGATGAATTCAGGCAAGACACTGGAGTTGAGCAAAAGTGAAGCATGGTTCATGCAGGAAAGAGTGCACATTGAACAGATTTCATAGGTAGCAGTTAGGCATAAACCATGTGAATACACTAAGCAAACCTAAAATGGTGGAAGTGATCAAAAGGTTTCTGAAAATAAACATTGCAATTAATACATCTCAGTGTACATTGACAAAGATTAAGATAGCTCAGTAAGGTCACAGGATGTTAGAAGATGACTGAGTATTTCCCTCACCTTAAAGTGGGCACATGACAACAGTTTGTGGAGCAATAGATCTTTCACAAAGACTCAAGCCCATAGCTATATCCCTTGTGCTGAGATTGACCCAAAAGATTTTGCTCATTTTCATTATGTAAAGTTGCTCTAGTGTTCTACACTGTAAGCAGAATATTCTTTTAGGGCGAGGGTTTTGCGATTGGTGCTCTCTAGAGTATGGATAATTTAAATTCACTTGGGAGATTTGATAGTGTATGAATTTACCTGAACTTTTATGGATGTTTCCTAATTCTGTGATTTACCCACAGATGGAATGTTCTAATTTATTACACCTGTCCATTTAGCATTGAACAGCTTCTTTATATGGTGATGCTTGTACTATACTGATGACCTGTTACTTCATGTTACTCTCACCCCCATCTTACCCATTCCTGTCTGTCATTTTTCTTTTGTTGTTTCTTTGTTCTGTGTAAATGGTATTCTTCAATTAATGTGAAGTTTGGATAGTTATTATAAATTCTGCAAAATGATGTGTTGTGCATTTAGCTTATGTAGTACAATCTTGCTGAAATCCTTTATGTACCTATTTATTTACTTATTTTTTACTCAGGGCCCTGTGATTGCTAAGGCAAACACTACACCACTTCAGCCTGTCTTACAGGGCTGGTCCTTTATTAATTATATTATCCCATTTTCTGTTCCCCTTTATGACACCAAGTATGTGTAAAATGTATTGTTAGTAATTTCCTGAACATGTAAAATCCTTTTCTAAGAAAGCTACATGCATTTCACCTAAAGATGTGCTGCTTCATGGACAGGGCAGTCATATTGGTGTGTTCCCCACTATTGTTCTTCCCATATATTACTGTTTTCACAAATTTTTATTATTACAAGGTATCACATAATCCATAATTCATTTTCAATGATTTTAAGCAAAGGTTTTCCTTGAAATACAGTAGTGTGGAAGAAAGTATTTTCATTCATTTCTTAATTTCCTAACCCTGTTTTTCTCTATGTGATCTAAGTTCTTAGTTTACATGTTTTTGTTTCTCTCTGGAGATCTTTCAACAATTTACAAAATTCAGATACTGGTGACACATTCTGTGAATTTTAATGGGTTTTCTTTCTCTTCTGACTGCATACTTTCAATCACATTAACCTTAATTCTTTGTTCTTGTTCTTGTCCTCCATTGAGCACTTATAGTGATGGTTTCCTTGAACTTCTTGTGTATCCATCTTCGTACTTTCTGTGCAATCCTTTCATGATTTCTAAGTGTATTGATATTAACTTCTTTGTACATAGTATTTC